ATTTAAAGCTTCAAATGCATCATACCACATTTGTTTTGAAAACTTGAAACTTTTTTATTTCTGCTGTGTGCCATTTTCATTTACTCTTAACCAGTAAGACATACACTATTATGTACACATCTGAACAAGGTGTTCCCTTCAATTACGTCACACAAATTATTCAAAAAGACCATGTGGTTGCAGATACTCTTCTGAAAAATGGGCATGCAAATTCTGAGCAGAGGAAATTATATATACAATACATATCTCATTACAAAGAAGTTGAGACCAAAACTAAATTATGCATCCAAATCCAGATTTTGCTATTTCTTCAACCCACTGTTTGGAGTTTTATGTGTTCACAGTTCTCTGTGCGAGTCAATCAGAAGACTGCAGCTTGAGTCCTCAAGAAGACCAGAAAGAGGATCACATCCCTCCAGTTCTGAGGTCTTTGCACTGGCTTCCTGTCAACAAAGACTGCTGGCGGTTTAAAAAGGGCCAAAATACACGTCTGACCTCACAAACCATCCCGACCCCTCCGGTCGCCTGAGAGGCAGAACCAAACCCGAGAAGCAGCGTTCACTTCTTCTGCTCCACATAAAAAGCTGCTGACTTTGCTGTTGGCTGCAGACTTTAATTAAGAGACAGTGAAGGATGTTGACCAATTTCCTGTGTTTCTGCATTTTACTATATTATTATTATATCTATTCTATTTCTAGCCTCTATGTTCTATATTGTTTTTGGATTGTTTCTTTTGGCCTTATGTCTTAGTAGTTCTAAATGGGTTTTATGTAAAGGACTAAATTGCCTTAATGTTGAAATGTGCTATACAGATAAACCTGCCTCGCCTTTAACTTGTGGAGAGTTGCATGCAGCATCACTTTGTTGTTGCAAAGATCGATTCACTTTGTGTCACAGATCCAAAAGGTCGACAGTGGTCCCTCCGCCTGATGATGTTTCTTGATGTGGTAATATATTAAAATATAACTGTGTGATGGTTTTATTTATTTTAATTCTAGAGCACATTCAAATAAAAACGCAAATTCTTCTCCCACAAATAAATTATTTTAATTTAATTGAATCACTTGCATTGTCCCCGCAGCCCAATAGGTGGCGCCCTGGTGCTCACCAGTGGGCCCGGTGCAGTTGCTGGTACAGATAAATGCTATAGGGGCACCGACAATTATACTATCTTTAACAAATGCTATTTTTATATTAATATTCATTAAAAAACACATAACACACAAATAACACAACATAACTTGACCTAGAACATATTTGTTTGATTTTAAAGGCATAACATGGCTTTGAAGACCATGGGTCACCCCGTAATGACTTATGAGGTAAACTATGTTTCACAATGTCTTGTTCAAGAATTGGGCTAGCACAAATTGGCAAAAACAAACAAACACAAAGCTATTTTAGCTTTGTGTTTGTTTTGTGTAATCCACAAACGCAAAATAGATCTATGTTCCAATTGCTTAGTAAGTCTAATAAATACAACTTAATCATTAAATTTCACTTGTTTTCTGGGGAATTTGTATAAGCATTTCATGGGAGCCTTTTTGTAATTTGAAATATAACTTATATTTAGTGTTATTTCTTCCTCCATCTTATGTTACTTCTTTTAAAAACACATTCATTTATTATATTTCTGGTGGCTAATTTGTGTGTTCGGCTAAAAATCGCACGTCCTTCGAAAAGCTAAAAAATACATTCATCATTATCACTCTCAATAATTAACAATGGTGTTAAAATCTATGTTACTTTTTAATAATGAAAACAAATATTCACAAATAAATATTGATTACATTGGGCGTATTATCATGAATGTTTTTATGAAGGTAGGTATTTGTGTCTTTATTATGCAAACAAAAAAAACTGTTTTGAGAGCAAACTTGGTTTTTGTTATTACAAACAAAAACCAAGTTTGTAAGTAAAAATATATAAACTGAAAATAAATTATTTATTAGTTTTGCTTATGAAACTAACTAACTAACTAATATATATATATATATATATATATATATACATATATACACATATATATACCTACATATATATACATGTATATATACACACATATACATGTATACACACATATATACACGTATATTTCACACATATATATACATACATATATACACACATATATATACATATATACACACATACACATATATACATATATACACACATACACATATATACATATACATAAACATATATATACACACATATATATATATACACATATATACACACACATATATACACGCATATATACATATACACACATATATATACACATGTATACATATATATATATATATATATATATATATATATATATATATATATAAATTTGCTCACATATATATATATTCATTCATTCAGCGGTGTAAGCCCCACCCACTAAGTACAAACTCTCTACAAACTTTTTTTTAGACAGAAGGGGTTGTTTTTGAGACCAAAACCTTATTTTTTTGAGAGAAAAAGTTTTTGTTTTGCAGCCAAACATTCATTCATCAAAATATTTTTTCTCAGGTGATATATTTTTACTTACAAACTTGTTTTTTGTTTGCAATGCAAGAAATTTGCTCTCAAAACCAGTGGCGGCTTTTTCTTTTGGTAGGTCCAGCCAATCAGATTCAGTTAACATCCCAGTATGATTCAATGCAAAAAAAGGGTATCAAACACGTATTAATACTTTGCAGTTCAATATTTAACATTTTTCCCAACAGTTAACATAATAAGGACATGGGGTTAGTTTTTTTTTGTTTATATAAAACATATAACCGCGTCCTCACCGCAGTCGCGTCGCAGCTCGGCAGCAATGTTAACTTCAAGCCTGGCCTAGTTTATGCCGCTAACTACGTCCTTTACGGAGTCTCACGTCTCCGTTTTCACAGCACAATACGGCCGTTATTAAAAGGAAGAATGTTGACGAGAGAACGGATCAGACTGAAGAGCTTTTGTGTGAAGAAATGCGTATATATGAGCGCTTGTACAAGCCGTCATTGGCAGACTATGAGGACGCCGGATGGCCTCTGATTCATGGAGGGAGATCTCCACCAACGAGGGGAACAAAGTCGTGGAGGAAAATACGGGACAAATGTGTCCGTGATGAAAAGCAGCAGTGTGGATGCACGGGGCAATAAAGTCTATGATCAATAAATAAAGCAACCAGCGACTTCCACACACAAAGACGTGACTCTCTAGGTCGTCTTCAACAAAACACGTGACTCCACCTGTTGTTCTGGAGGTGAATCGCTCTGCAACACACGCAAGACTTTACAACCAGGAAGTGAAACCAGCGCGTCGACGCGTAAAGACGACCTTTAGAGGCCATTAGACTCGCCCGAGCAGTGTTAATTTCGTCGACGAAAACTATGATGAAAACGACTAAAACGAGACTAAGACGTGACGAAAACCATCTTAAAAAATAAAAACTATGGCTAAATCTATTCTAACTTTTCTTAACGAGACGAACATGTTGGTGGTGGACGTCACGATACTTTTTCCCCCTAAATTCGCACGCAGCCGACAGACAAAGTACGGCGGATGTTAACGCGGCATGATGACGTCATCCACCAACCCAGCTATAAATAGCTATTGCTATTTGTTAAAATCCAAATCCTTTCATGTGATGATGTTTCACATGTCATTTATATCAGCTCACACAAACACTTCAACCATTTGTTCTTTACAACCCACTGTGGCCGCGAGTCAAAAAGTTAGCCGACCTGCTATAGACCTGTCCTATGAGGGACATCTATAGACCTGTCCTATGAGGGACATCTATAGGCCTGTCCTAGGAGGGACATCTATAGACCTGTCCTATAAGGGACATCTATAGACCTGTCCTATGAGGGAAATCTATAGACCTGTCCTATGAGGGACATTTATAGACCTGTCCTATGAGGGACATCTATAGACCTGTACTAGGAGAGACATCTATAGACCTGTCCTATGAGGGACATCTATAGACCTGTCCTAGGAGAGACATCTATAGACCTGTCCTATGAGGGACATCTATAGACCTGTCCTAGGAGAGACATCTGTAGGCCTGTCCTATGAGGGACATCTATAGACCTGTCCTATGAGGGACATCTGATGGACAACCAAGTACTGCAAGCTGGACTATTATGCAGTTGTAGACACAACACAGGGGTCCCTGGGCCTGAGAAGGGAAGAAAGGGAGTTTAATGTGGATATTAAATGTGACTAAAACTAATTACAATATAGTCTAGTTTTTGTTGACTAAACCTTGACTAAAAATAAGGAGGATTAAAATGACTAAATGTGACTAAAACTAATATGCATTTTCGTCTAAAGACTAAGACTAAATCAAAAATAGCTGCCAAAATGACCACTGCGCCCGAGCCCAGCTGAGACAAGCGGAGAGGACGTGCAGGAAAATGTTTTGCGCAGATTTCTTAATTTACAAATATTACCAGGTAAATGATCCACATTTCAAAAACACAAATATTGACTATTCGTTAAAAGTATTTTTGTTATTTTAAACAACAAAAATAGGTTGTTTTTTTCATGGCTCGTGGTGGGGCCACAGCCCACTGCTCAAAACACAAATCTACCTTCACATCTTCACATTTAATGATAACAACAGAAGCCACACATGTTGGATGTTACTTTTGAATAACTCTGATTACTCTTAACAAGTATTATAAAACATAGTTCCACTACTCTTATTGTACTGTATTACAAATATAATCGAGTAAAAAAAGGACATTAACAGCAGCCCCTCTTTAAAGGACCACCTGCCCAACTAACAATACACGTGTGCACCTTTTACCTGCGCGTCACGTGACCGCGCACCCTTCCGCACAGCTGGCGACCTCGCTGGAAGCCACGCGCCGTTTGCCCTCAGAAAGGAAACATTCCTTGTGGTTTCAAGCGTCGGTCGTAGGACCGGCCCGGCCGGTTCTCCCAGTGACGGAGCAGGTGAGCGGAGGTGGGGCGCAGGGGGAGGGGCGCAGGTGGGGGTGTGGGCGGAGGAAGTACGGGAAGGGAGAGGAGCCGAGCCGCCGCCGCCCGGCAGCTCGCTACAAACAGGAAGCAGACGGGAACATGCCGCGGTGACCAGACGCCGACCGAGAGCCGCATTCAGCCCCCAAAAAGACCCAAATCTACCCAAGCGCGCGCGGTAAGTCCGTCGTGTGTGTGTGTGTGTCTGTGTGTGTGTGTGTGTGTGTGTGAAGGTTCCGGCTCTTTTGACTCCGTTTTTCGGATAGGCGGAATGGCGTTTGACGGCCAGGTGAGGGCTTCACCTTCCCCCCCAGGGACGCTCCACTGGTTGGGGACTGGTTGGTTGGGGGGCACAGCGGCCTGCAGCTTGTGTTTTAGTCGGTACTCCGTAAAGTCTCAGTCCATCTTTATGGGTCCATGAATGTAGTCCCTCCCCAGGAGACCTCACACCTCCACCAGGCTCCGTGAGCTGAACCTCATCAGGAAAACCAACACACTCCATTTGTTTACCATCTCCTGTGGCGATATGGCACAGCCCTCGTTATATACGTATTAAATCCAACAGGCGTTCTGCTTCCGGCCTGTTCATCGTCACCTCGCCATGGCACGGAAGGGCAAACCTGTGGCCCGCCATGGTGAAACGTGCATAACGCCATAACGGCAAACATCCCTGTGCTCGATTTACAAAAGTGGCGCTGCTGTAAAGCGGCTGATGCGTACATCACATATTTACTTCAGAAGAGTTGTATCGCTCTTACTAACTCAGCAGAGAACATCCCACTGTGAATGTGCTTCATTATGACACAACAGTAAGTTGCGTATTGTATTGTCATTGCTGAAAGAATGATTGATATTTATTTATATAATGATACATGGAGGACCGGGGGGGGGGGGGGGACCCTCTCTGAACGTTTCTTCCTCTTCCTGCTCGTAAACGTCGTTACCAATTATTTACTGACTTGACTTTGCATGAACTACAGATTCTGATGAAGCATCCACCTCTCAGTCTGTGGGTGGAGAGTACCTTTTTTTTACCGCGGCACAGCGTTACCATGTGACGGAGCGGTGAAACACCCCCACCCACATGGGGGAGTCGCTGGTGTTTGTCTGATCACAGTGACTCCTGAACACACGGACGGATGTTTTCTCCACAAACAAACAGCAGAGATCTCCTTCGTCAGCAAGTCCTTTTTGCTTATGGAAATGTTTTCCTCCTTATGGAAAAGGTTTCCACCGAGAGACACACAATTTGACTCATGAGGCAAATTGTGTGTAAAGGCGAGAGAGAAACGAACCACGTCCCACAACTAGAAATGTCAACCCCGACTATATGACCCCACGCGCCTGTAGACCCCACGCGCCTGTAGACCCTAGACCCCACGCGCCTGTAGACCCCGCGCGCCTGTAGACCCCACGCGCCTGTAGACCCCACGCGCCTGTAGACCCCACGCGCCTGTAGACCCCACGCGCCTGTAGACCCCGCGCGCCTGTAGACCCCGCGCGCCTGTAGACCCTAGACCCCACGCGCCTGTAGACCCCGCGCGCCTGTAGACCCCACGCGCCTGTAGACCCCACGCGCCGTAGACCCCGCGCGCCTGTAGACCCCGCGCGCCTGTAGACCCCGCGCGCCTGTAGACCCCGCGCGCCTGTAGACCCCACGCGCCTGTAGACCCCACGCGCCTGTAGACCCCGCGCGCCTGTAGACCCCACGCGCCTGTAGACCCCGCGCGCCTGTAGACCCCGCGCGCCTGTAGACCCCGCGCGCCTGTAGACCCCGCGCGCCTGTAGACCCCGCGCGCCTGTAGACCCCGCGCGCCTGTAAGCAAATTAGGAGTCCGATACTATTTGACTAAAAGAGTAGTATCGGTGTACTTTTGAGAATTTGTGTACCCTGACTACAAAAGAAGTGTTACTGGTCCCCGTCACAAAGTAGTGATGAGGACGTTGGAGGAGCCGTCATTCGTCGTGACGTCTGAACATCGCCCAGCGAGGAGTTGAACTTCTATCTGTACCAGTGCCTTGCTCAGGGGCTCTTCATAGGTTTACAACTATTCTTTAGTCATGTGAGTTTTTCCTAATTTCAGTAGGAAAACCCCATTTAGCCAGTGTGTGCATCACTGTGTCGCATTGCCCCATCTCGCCGATCGCCACTCAACTAAATGCTGAAGTGACAACGAACGGACGCGCAGAATCGAACCTGTTACTTTGAATGCGCAGTGATATGGAACGCTCGGGTCAATGTGGACTACATTATCTCAACCAAAATATATATATATATATATATATTATATGAAATGGTTCATTGAAATGAGCACGGAAGCTGTCTTGTGCTTTCTTTTAGTTTTTAACTCACTGATGATTTTACCCTTAAAAACAATAAAGTCACCACATGAAGCGGTGTTCCAGCAGAGGACCGACTTCCCTTTCTGTTTCCCTCCTCACTCCCCCGACTGGTACCAATGAATTCTGTGTAGTGGGAATGTATGTACGAACCCATAAAATGGAGCAAAAAATACAAATGCTATGATAAAGTAATTTTTGAAGAGGTGAGCATCGGAGCTGAGCATTGCAATGGGACAATGGAAACCAGAAGACTCATTGTGTGTCTTCAGGGTGTGTGTCTTGTATTATTATTATAATTTTTTTAGCTCCGGGCTCCTCCCTCGTCTCAGGTTTCATTGTTGTCACTCAGGTATGCTCTCTCTCCGTCTCACTCCCTGTGAATCCCTCCCTGCTCTTTGTCGTTGCCATAGTGATACTTGGCACAAAACCAATGAACAGAAAACCAGTTTTTTGTTGATTTGTTTTCTTCGTCCTCTCAGCCTCTGGCTTTCTGTGTGTTTTCAGGCTCTGAAATGACGTCATTTACTTTTCCAAAACAGAAGCATTTGCTACCTGGTATGTCCTCTTATCTACACGCCTACAATCCCTGTCTGAATGACTTATACTAGAGGATTTGTCCACCAATCGATCAGGCGATTTAGATCAGTTGTTATAAATGCTGTGCTTCACACCGGCTGATGGGACTTGTAGTATTGACAGTGTGAAACTAGCAGGAAATCCATGACTCCTTAACAATACAGTAGGAGAAATGAAAGTACGTCGTGGTTAAATCCTCCAGGAGCGTCTTGTGTTGAGGACTCGCAAAGTGAAACTCGACTAACGACAGCAGAGAAAAGGCTCTTTGCTCTTCTTCATCTTCACATGAGTCTGATCCTTGAGAGCCGCCCTCACAGAGCTCTTCTCTGTTTGCTGTTTCCACATGGGCCATTGTCACATAGTGTCGTCTTGTGTTATTTGCATGGGAGCGGACTGAGGTAGATGCTATATGAACAGAAACAAAAGGGGATCTGTAGAATCCCAAGGACCCTCCCCCACCCCCATCCCCTCCATCCCCTCCCATCCACCCCATCCCCTCCATCCCCTCCCAACCACTCCCACGTACGGGTGGTGCAGGAACCAAACTTTGTACGGCGACTTTAAACCAATCAGCCCGTGCGTCCTGACCCGTTGGTGATATTCATCAGTGTGACACAGCGCTTCATTTTAGCCGTGTATTGACGCAGGCCTCCTTTGTTATTTTACAAAGTACAGAGAAGGTTTTGTAGTTTGCTGGATTTGAAGCCGTGTGCGTGGCGCTGGGCTTCTGAGCGTATGCTCTGGTGTGGCACGCCGTTTGACTGGATGTCACTGACCAAGGCGCCATGTCGTTTTAGTCCCTCTTTACTCAAACTGCTCATTGATGTCTCTAAGACTCCAGCAGTCCTCTGGCTTGTCTTCTTCACTGCTCGTATATCCACTTCGAGTCCATCTACTCCTACGGACACGACACCTGCTGGGATGAGGGACAGAAACCAGAACAACAAGAATCAAGGAAGCACAATTTCTTCAAGAAACTACAAAGTGTTATAAGTGAGTAACACTGATAAAGTGTCAACTAGTCCAGGTGTGTCTTCAGCTGTGGAGGCTTTCTGGCGTCCTGATGTCCCAGCAAACAGCCGGGATGTTGTTGAGCTCTCTGAAGGAGCAACTAGCAGATTGGCGGCTACAGAGGAGTCTAGCAGTCGCTCCTTTTCATGTGCAGACTTGTTTGAGTTGCCAGAGCCGGGTGGAATACGCACAGTCTCAAACATGAGGTTGTATGTGTTGGTTATTGAAAAAGCTCAATCACACCTTTTAATGTGGACAATAGATCCCGTCTCTCCGTTTCACAAGTGGAAAGAAAAGGCGCCGCTACTCTCTCTTTGGAAAGTCACGACGTGACATTTGAGTTTTCTACGGTGAACGTCGGCTACATGCGAGACGCAGCGGGACACTAACGGACTCCTCTGCGTCCTTTAGACGTTAGGCTGATGGGCCGCGCTGCTCACCAGGAGCTGTCGGGCCGCTGTCTGTCCATCCAGCTGCAACAGCCGTTTGTATCAAACCCCCCCACTCTTTAATTATTCCAGCATAACCAGTGCGTTGGGATTGTGGCCCAACGTGTGCGGTTGCTGCGTATGTGCGGCCTCCGTCAGCGGAAAATTCATCCACCTCTGAGGTGCGGCCACATTCCTCAGTGCCACCGATGGTTGTAATTTCATTGTAACGCACTCGCACTGCAAAGTCGTCGTCACCCACCCATCATATGACGTCAGGGCGCAAAGCCTCTTCATTCCTGGACGTGCACGCTCAGTGCTGATGGCCGTTCACAATCAGAACGTCCAGAAGGTAACACGTGCAGATCATCCTAATTATTCCTTGTTTCCGGAGTCAGTGGCTCAGCATTCCAGGTCTGTCTTCTCTTTGACGCTCGGAACCTTTCTGTCTGTCTGTCTGAGCGTTTCTTTGCTTCTCGCTTTCTTCTCTTGAATGTCTGTGATTCTTCAACACGTCTTTATGCTGTTCAATAGTCAAAGCGTCCATGCTTCTATCTACTGACCATAGCAAATGTCCGATTGTTTGCTTGTTTCCATTTATTCATCAGCTGAAATTCTTCCGTCAGATAGCTGAGGTGCCGGGATGAATCGGCACCGCGTGGACTCCCGCGGCTCGTTGGGGCCCGACGATGAGGTCATGCCGTACAGTGACGATGAGACGGATGACGAACTGGAGGTGAGCTCTGAGGAGGAACAAGAGGAGGAGTCACGAGACCCGCAGCCCCCGGAGGAAGCTAGACCCAGCGGTGAGACAAAGATGGCCTCGTTGTGTGTACTGGACAAAGCGCTCATCCTGTGGTTTACACCGTGCGTTTAAGGGAGGCGTATCGAATCCGTCCTGTTTTGTGTTTCAGAAATGGGATGGAAGGTGAAGGCCAACGACCGACCGTATCACCAACTCCCAGAGTTCAAGAAAAAGGTCTTCCTGTGCTTTAAGAAGAGCCGATACTCTGTGAGTGCTGCCGTTCTTCACCCTGGTGACGAAGAGCTGTCTGTGCTGCTTCTATTACTTCAGGGCAACACGTCAGAAACACGTGGTTGGGATCAGAGTCACCGATTGGTCCACAGATCGGATCAGCACCAACGAAAACGGGGCAAATGGAACTTTTATAGATCCCTGATTATTTTATTGCCACCATCACCAATCGCAGATCCTCACGGGCCGACCCAGGTCCTTTTCCCTTGATGGCCCAAAAACCCCAGTCTCCATTTCATTGCTGGAGGGTGGTGTGGTTAACCTTCAAATGATACAAATGCTACAGCTACTTGGCTTTTTTTTCCACCACAACAAAATTGATGAAATTGGATGTCTGTTTTTTTTAAAGCATGAACACCGAATTTATGTTTAACGGAGTAATGAACACCATGTGTACTCACTCACCGGCCTCTAGGAAGTGCTCCTCATGTGGCCTCTATTTCTGCTGAGTCACTGCAGTGTTTTTGTGTCGTCTCACTCCGCTGAACCGACCTGTAGCTCACTAATAGACACATTTAACTGAAGCCTGAACATATTTCTATGAACAGTAACTGTTTTTGCATAATTGAGTCCCCGATCTACCTGACAGCTGGTGAAGTTGGCGCATGTTTCTTCAGCGGTTGTGGTTAATGGAAGGCAGCGCGCTAGTTGTTCTGTGGAATAACCCTCTGTGAACGGGTCGGCACTGAGCGGCTGTGAGAAGACGCAGTGGAAGGAGGCTTCCTCCGCTGATACCTCACTCTTCTGTAGTTGTCCCGATGGACCTGCAGCTGCAGTATGTTATGCTTCTGAAATGTAGCCTGACGCCTGCATTCTGTCTACTGGCCATTAGCTTCTGGACCTGCTCCTCACTATCTAGTACATTGTAAGCATCTCCTTCAGTCCAGCATACGTCTCCTTTAGGGAATGGTGGTCAAATAGACCTTAGAGCAGAGTGTGCTTTAGGGCCACCATGTGATTGACACGTCTATTAAGCAGTCCAAACGTGATCACGCCCACTCATTGGTTGCAAGAACAACTTGTGATGTAGCGCCAGCACGAGCGCGCCCACTTCTTAAAGAGAGCCTAATCCTAAAACAAGCCGCAGACTGTATTAGCATTAGCATCAGGGCGCAAAACCGCCCGATAAGAACTTTGAAACACATTCGGCCTATTATGATTGTGATGAGATAAGGTGGATGACATCATCGAGTGCCTCGCAGGCGACATCATTGAAAACAAACTGCTTTTCGTGTGTGAAACTGAGGGAAGGCCCCCTTTTAAAATACCTATTTTTAACTGACGCATCGCATCCTGTGCAGGGAAACGAAATCAAGACGTACAAGTACAACGTCCTCACCTTCCTGCCCCTGAACCTGTACGAGCAGTTCAAGAGAGTCGCCAACCTCTATTTCCTGGCTCTGCTCATCTTACAGGTAAAAATCCATTTCAGTGTCACAATAAAACAAAGCTTTTCAAACACTAAAACAAGCCCTTCTGTTGTTAGATTATTCCAGACATCTCTACTCTGCCCTGGTACACAACCCTGATTCCTCTGGTGGTGGTGCTAGGAGTCACTGCCATCAAAGACCTGGTGGACGATCTGGTAAGGCTCCTCGTTTGAAACACCCACACACACACAATGCTAAAGACAGGAACTATTTTGTTTCCATTGGTGACTTCGTATCAGAAACAACCAACGTAACGTGTGGAGTCCCCCAAGGTTCGATCTTAGGGCCGACTTTATTCAACATCTACATGCTCCCACTAGGACAAATCATGCAAAAAAATAAAATTGACCACCATTGCTACGCTGATGACTCCCAAATCTATGTAGCGCTATCACCAAACGACTATCGCCCCATAGATCTCCTGTGCCAGTGCATTGAGCAAATGTGTCAAAATGTCCTACAACTAAATGAAGACAAAACTGAGATCATTGTATTTGGTGCTAAAAAAGAAAGGTTTAAAGTAACCCAACACCTTCGCTCTCTGTCCCTGAAAACATCAAATAAAGCCAGAAATCTGGGGGTTATTATGGATTCAGATTTACACTTGGAGAGTCACATCAAATCAGTAACAAAATCGGCCTACTACCACCTCAAAAATGTAGCACGACTTAGAGGGCTCATGTCAGCTCAAGACTTAGAAACACTTGTACATGCCTTTATAACTAGTAGGCTGGACTATTGTAATGGTCTCCTTGCAGGTCTTCCAAAAAAAACTGTCAGGCAGCTCCAGCTTGTTCAGAACGCTGCTGCTAGAGTTCTAACAAAGACCAAAAAATGTGAGCACATTACACCAATTCTTAAATCCTTACATTGGCTCCCAGTATGTCAGAGAATTCATTTCAAAATCCTACTGCTCACATATAAATCACTACATGGTTTAGGGCCAAAGTATATCACTGATATGCTTCCACTACATAAGCCTTCAAGATCACTAAGATCTTCTGACACCATCTGTTAGTGATTCCCAGAGTAAATACAAATCATGGGAAAGCATCATTTAGTTACTACGCAACAAACAGCTGGAATAAACTTCCTGAAGATTTAAGACTTGCCCCAACTCTGACCACGTTTAAAACAAGACTGAAAACTTTATGTTCAGCTTCGCCTTCTGCTAAATTACACCTACATTGCACTTTCAACCTCTGCCTTTTAATTAAACAATTTAAATAAGATTTTAATTTATAATTTTATTTGCTGTTTTTAATTGTCACTTTATTGTATGAAATGTTATGATGTGAAGCACTTTGAGTCTGCCTTGTGTATGAAAAGCGCTATACAAATAAAATTGCCTTGCCTTGCCTAAATCCATGTCCGGTTTGATCATGGATTTTTACCCAATTTGAATTAAATCAAGCCACTTGAAGCTACATGCGTCCTGTAGGCACTAACTTATTCAAGAATAGCTTGTTTTTTTTATTTAGCCGATTACAAAAGTTGCATTAGGACAAAGCTTTAGAAATCCGTTCTACAGGACATTGTCAAATGATCGGTTTTGTTCTGACTTTTAAATTAAAATCCTTCCAGGCCCGGCACAGGATGGACAAGGAGATCAACAACAGGAAGTGTGAGGTTCTGCTGGACGGCGCGTGAGAACAAAGATTTCTATTTGCTTTGATTAAAATGATACAAATAAATCCACCATCTTTAAAAACTGACATTGTTTTTGAGAAATTGCAGTAGCCCAAGTTCCTCCGTTCATCACTCGTCCAACACACAAATATGTCAAATCTGTGATCGGCCTGTTCCTCAGGTTTCAAGAGTCGAGGTGGAGGAACATCCAGGTGGGAGACGTGGTCCGTCTGAAGAAGAACGACTTCATCCCGGTATGATGGCTCATGATCATTATCAGATGGTTCACTGGACGTCCTGTAGTCTCCAGCTGACATCAGAAATGTCTTTATTTACCTTCTGGCTAAACGGTGTCACGTAAATGACCTACATTCAATCATCTGACCATAAAAAGAGAGAACGTGTACATCTGGTGGCCCTGACATGAATGAGCCTGGTCAAGGTTTACGTTGGCCACATGTTGATGCGTACCTGTTAATCCTCTTCAGGCTGACATCCTGCTGCTGTCCAGCTCCAACCCAAACAGCCTGACCTATGTAGAAACCGCTGAGCTCGACGGGTAAGACTCTCAAACCGTATTCAAGCCATTCCACTCCATCTTAATCATAAAGGAGCAACGTTAACTGTTCTGCTCGGACTGAGCAATGGAAGATGCTGCCGCTCAGCGTTCTCTGCTCCCACGCGTTTTAGTTTGAGCCGTAGCTTCCTCAGGAGGGGAGCAGACGCACCAACCAACGATAAGAACTCTGCCAGGCGCCACCGTGTGGCCTGCGGTTAAGTGAGACGCCTCTTTAGACCAGAGGTGGCTCTAAACTATTCCCCCGCTTTGATGACCATGTTATTCCCCAGTCATGAAGCTGTGCTCCCCTGCAGGGAGACCAACCTGAAGTTTAAGCTGGGACTGCGAGTGACCGACGAGGAGCTGCAGGAGGTGCGTCAGCTGGCCGAGTTTAATGGTACGACACGCGACTCTGCTGCTTTGTTTGCTTAAACCCGCATCTCTTGAACACAAATCATTAAATAACAACGCTTTATAGTGAGAGAATAGCTATTCTCACAGCATGGGGGGTGAAACCATTTTTACATGAACTAACCTGAATAAAAGAACACTGCATTTTTTTTAATAGTCCATCAATGACTCATATTAATCAGCTCTATTGTTTGTGCTTATTGTTACTTTCTCATCATTTCAACTTCTCATGTAATCTGTGAAGCTCTGATCGAGTGCGAGGAGCCGAACAACCGCCTGGACAAGTTTGTGGGGACGATGCGGTGGGACGGGGGCCACTACCCGCTGGGCCTGGACAACATGCTGCTGCGAGGCTGCACCATCCGCAACACGGAGGTGTGCCAGGGCCTGGTCATCTTCGCAGGTGAGAGCCGCTCGGCATGAGATGACGTCACCCCAGAGATGCGAATAAGCAACATCGTCTTCATCCTTGACACATTTATTATACGTAACTCATAACTACATAAATGTGCTTTCATTTAATTGCATTTCATTTTTATGTTCCACCTGATTCATATGCAGGATTAACTAACAATCCGTCATCATGACGGCATGACTAACAAACATCAAGAAATTATTCTGCAACAATTTTGAAAATGAATTCTGTTTTTTCTGGTTGTTTTGGGCTGTTGGTGCCACAAAAGAAGACTAACTTCTTCCTGCATTTCTCATTTTTTTTACTGTCTGAACAATTTATGGAGAGAAGTCCCATGCAGCCCGTCGCCGTTTAGTCTTACTTACCAACTTGAATTGAACCACATGATTTCACTGTGACTGATTTTGAGATGTGATGTTTTAGGGGCAGACACCAAGATCATGAGGAACAGCGGGAAGACGAGGTTCAAGAGGACCAAGATTGACGAGCTAATGAACTACATGGTTTACACGGTAAGACGAGAAGGGGGCGCCATTCATTTATCTTCTTCACCTCCTTTTATGATCCTGGTCGCCTACAACAGCGACTCCTCATTCATTTACAACTTTGATCTGTCCAATTCATAATATTGCGCCGTTACCCCCCCGGCCTTTGGTAATCCCTTCCTTCTTAACGCCGGCCTGCCAATAGGGGCTACGTGTCCATCCCTGCGTGACCCTGCGTCTGTTGCCTCCCTGTAGATCTTCGTGCTGCTGATCCTGGTGGCGGCGGGTCTGGCTATCGGACACTCCTTCTGGTACCAGGAAATCGGCATGAAAGCCTGGTACCTGTTCGACGGCAAAGACCGGAGTTCCTCGTACAGAGGCTTCCTCAGCTTCTGGGGATACATCATTGTCCTCAACACCATGGTGCCCATTTCCCTCTACGTCAGGTGAGTATTTGTGTTCGGCATCGAGGGTGCTGCGCTGGGCGGTGCGTTCCCCGTCCTGTAGTGACTATCTTCCTGTGATGCAGACTTCAGAGAGGCCGGGATGCTACCGGACCCGTCGTAGTATCCGCTCCATTTTAAAAACGCGTTGCTTCCAACGTGCCGGAGCTCTGACCTCAGCGGGGGGCGGGGCTTAGCGTCAGCATGACATCCAGACTTTTCTTATTTAGCTTCCGGCTTTGAGAAGCAGCAGCTCATCTTCACAAATAGGAATTGTCTTGGCCACTGAAGTAACACGTGGATATTCTTAATATAGTACAAATGTAAAGGAAGAAAAAAATCGATTGGACCAAAAGAACCAGTGTGATTTGAGAGCTGTTGAATGTTGAGCAAATCCCTCATCTTGTGTTTGTGCAGCGTGGAGGTGATTCGTCTCGGCCAGAGCAAGTTCATCAACTGGGACCTGCAGATGTATTACGCAGAGAAAGACACACCGGCTAAGGTACATTTAATTGGAACCCTAACACTGTTGGCGGCTGTGACTTGCCTGTAATGGAAATATTCAACACAAACGATGATACTTGTCAGTATTGCAGGTGATTTTTTTAATGTATTTATTTTGGTTTTGTATTTTGTTAAAACTGTCAGTTTGACTCATTTTAAAATACTATTGACCTCAAAATCCTATTTTTGTGTCCCATTACGCATAAGAATACAGCCCATCTGGTTTGCAGGTGGTAAATAGCTCTGGTATACGATAAACTAACTTTCCTGACACCGATGAACCCCACGCAGGCTCGGACCACCACCCTGAACGAGCAGCTGGGTCAGATCGAGTACATCTTCTCCGACAAGACGGGAACTCTCACACAGAACGTCATGCAGTTCAAGAAGTGCACCATCGCCGGACACAGCTACGGTACCGAGCCGCTAGATTTCACTCAAAGCCGCAAATCAAAGCGTCGCCCGGCAGAATATGTGCCTCACTCACTAGACCCGCTAGACCCGAAGAGGTGCAAGTAAAAGAAAAAGACCTGCTGCCTTCTACTAGAACGACAAAGATACGTACATATAGTTTCTGCAGGAACAAGTGTGTATTTTCCCATCAAATAACAGAGTAGAGCAAACAAATAGTTGAGTAATAAATGAACAACAGAAAACCGATTCAAAGTTTGCTGTGCGAGTCGGTAACACCGGTGCAGTGCCCAACAAGGGAAGTCACAAAACGTGGCATAAATAAAGTAATCCGGGTGTTTAGTCCCAATCCCAGTTCAGTTGATGCTGAACTGGTTGGTTTGGTAGATAAAGATAAAGCAGAGCAAATACAAATACATATGCTGTGTTTTCACTTTGACACACAAGTCTCCTTCATTGCCTGTTTGCATCAACAAATCTGCCCGGTGCGCTGGCGTCTCACTGCAAACCCTCAGTTTGCCTAACAAAGCTCACCAGTGTGATTCCAGCGGCCTCCTATCAGCTGCTGGAAGCTCCTTCGCTTGTCCCCCGGTATGAAAAAAAGGCCTGTGCAAATTTCTTGGAAATCAGCAAGAGGCAAAAGTGGAGCGATTTGTATGTGTTCCTTAATTGCTTTTACAGCCGTGACTCATTCCAAGGTTTCACTCTGCTGTCCACAGGCGACCCGACCACAGCGGAGGGCGTGGTGCTGGACCGAGGACGGGTAAGGGTGACGCAACAGAAGACTCTGCTACCAAATATTTCAAACGTTTACCCAATTTTTGTTGTATAATCTGTATTTATAGACCTCATTCAAAATCAGCACTGTTAACTACTAAGCGGAATAATTACTGACTATTTCCCCCCTTTCTTTTAACCCCCGTTAGCCGGTAGACTGGAGCTGGAACCGGCAAGCCGACAAAAAGTTTGACTTCAGGGACCATTCTCTGGTTGCCCGCGTCCGATCCGGGAAAGACAAAGATGCCAATGAGTTCTTCAAGCTGCTCTCTCTCTGCCACACCGTCATGGTGGAGCACAAAGACGGTAAGCAAAGCATGGCCGCCGCACCCGTCCATCAACTCTAACTCCTGCTGAAAAGGGTGTTTGTACGAGGTGCCTCCCCATCGCTGGTAGCAGCACGGGATGTATTTCACACACCTTCCATGTCCATATCGTAGATTGACACCTCTACCTTCACACGGCCCTTTACGATGGGGGGCGAAGCCGTTATCTGAGCACCAGACTCCATTGTCAGAACGAGGTGTTCATCTTCCATCCAGCTGGGGTTTAAACGGGTTAATACCAGTCACACATGTAACCCCCGGTACACCTGTGAGGGTAAATGCTGGTTTCTGTTCATGCCGCGTGGTTACAGGCCGACAGGCCGGTGGATGCCTCACACGCCCCTCTGATGGCAGAGCATCATGTGTCATCTGGCGTCATGTGTGCTTCCTTCTTCCCTTCAGGTGATCTGGTGTACCAGGCGGCTTCTCCCGACGAGGGCGCCCTGGTGACGGCCGCCAGGAACTTTGGCTACGTGTTCCTGTCTCGCACGCAGGACACCATCACCATCAGGGAGATGGAGCAGGAGAAGACCTACGAGATGCTGGCGCTGCTCGACTTCAACTCGGACCGCAAGCGCATGTCCATCATCCGTACGAGTGCACGGGCATCAGCACACTAATACACATACGTTTCTGAAAGTAGGGACACCTCAGCTGTCCCACTTTGACCAATACATCTGACATGACCCTTCTGAAGGATTTTAGATTTGGAGACTTTATTCCAAAGGGCTTTGAGCTGCTGCTTCTACGCTAGCTAGTTTAGTGCCAGTGGTGTAGGTTTAACCTTGCTGCCATTCAACGTGGGGAGCGCGTCTTCTTTGAGGATTCTTCATGTTCTTGCCACACAAAGTGTAGGACTGGTCTTGATTTTGGGTTTAAATTCTCTCTCTCTCTCGCTCAGTGAGGTTTCCCGACGGTCGCATCCGCCTCTACTGTAAAGGAGCCGACACCGTCATCTACGAGCGACTCTCCCCGAACTCCAGACACAAAGAAACCACCCAGTCCCATCTGGACGTGAGTCTGCACAGCCAGCCTCCCCTTTGCACCGTTTGATTTCTTCCAGTCTGGAGACCTTTTGGAAACAACCACATACTTGTTGTGCTGCAGGTCTTTGCCAACGCGACGTTGAGGACGCTGTGCTTGTCCTACAAAGACATCAGCACAGCGGAGTACGAAGCCTGGTCCCAGAAACACACGGAGGCCCAGTTGGTCATGGCCGACCGGGACGCCGTCCTCGACCGCGTGTACGAGCAGATCGAGAGCGACCTGATGGTGAGTGATGTTTGCTTTTTGTGCTTTTTGAACCAGCAGCTCTTTTTCTTTCCCATTTTCCTTTCATAAGTCCAGTGTGCGTTCTGGGGATCGATTAGCAGGGTTCTTGTTTTCACTGGCGTAGAATCCCCTGAAACTAAGACGAGTGGGTTTGGTTCCCTTTCATTTGTCCAGCTGATCGGGGCGACAGCCATCGAGGACAAGTTGCAGGATGGAGTACCGGAGACCATCGCCACGCTGGCTAAGGCCGACATCAAGATCTGGGTCCTGACTGGAGATAAGAAAGGTACCGTCACCGTACGGGAGTCCGAAACCAGAACGTACTACAGCATAACGAATAAAACAATGTGTTCTTACTCTCAACGTCTTACATCTTCCTCCCTAGAAACGGCCGAGAACATCGGATACGCTTGTTCACTTCTGACAGACGAGATGCAGATCCACTACGGCGAAGACGTCAAGTGAGTGGATTTAAAACGTCGCTGCTGATGTCTGTGTTGGATCCCGAGGTGGCCGCTACTCTGGCTCCATGTGTGAAGCCCTCTGCGATCTGGAAGCGATCCGTCCCGTTCTTCAGTGGCGTTGTTCTGCTCTTCTTGTGCTTGCAGTGAGAAGCTGAGGCTCCGTCAGGCCAACCGGAGAAACGAGACTCAAGCGCTCCGTCGAGGCCAAAAGAAACCCGCCGAGCCCTTCTTCCCCGCACCGGGCAAAAACGCTCTCATCCTCACCGGAGGGTGGCTGGTGAGCACCCTGCTGGGACGGACACGGTATTGAACATGTTAACGGGGTGGGTTGTGCTGAGGCATTCTCTCTCTCTTTTTATTAAAAATGCAGAACGAGATTCTGTATGAGAAGAAAAAGAAGCGGCGACGTCTGCGCCTGCGCCGCCTCGGGAGGCGAGTGCCTCCCAGCAACCCTCAGGACGGACAGCCAATGGACGACTGGGAGAAGGAGATGAGACAGGTGAGGCTACGCAGCTGCTTAAAGGTTCAGTGTGGCGGCGTAGACGGGCCGAGTCCATGACGAACTGTCTCTGCAGATCGACTTTGTGGACATGGCCTGTGAGTGCGAGGCGGTCATCTGCTGCCGCGTCACACCCAAGCAGAAGGGCAACGTGGTGAGTTTGGTTAAGAAGTACAAGAAGGCCGTGACGCTGTCCATCGGAGACGGAGCCAACGACGTCAACATGATCAAGAGTAAGGACACACGGCAGCTCCTGCTGGAGGACCAAGCGTCTCCTGCCCTGGCAGCATCCCTGTAACCGTCTGTGTCCCCCCAGCTGCAGACATCGGCGTGGGCATCAGCGGTCAGGAGGGGATGCAGGCCGTCATGTCCAGCGACTACGCCTTCGCTCAGTTCCGCTACCTGCAGCGCCTCCTGCTGGTGCACGGCCGCTGGTCCTACATCCGGATGTGCAAGTTCCTGCGCTTCTTCTTTTTCAAGAACTTCGCCTTCACACTGGTCCACTTCTGGTACTCTTTCTTCAACGGATACTCGTCACAGGTCAGGAGCCGGCATCGAATTTGTTTCTTCATGAACCTTTTGAATTATATTTCTGATGTACACTTTGACATTTTGGCCTCGAGGCCTTTTTGGGATGTTCTGTGTCGGGTTGGGGGGGGGGTCATAGGGTCATAGACTAAAGTCGCCCTTCAGGGGCTGTGAGCCCCCCTCGCCCCACCAGTCCCAAAGCACACACAGGTGTCCCGGTCCTCGGTCGTAATGCAGTCCGTTCTGCTTGCAAAAAGCAGAGACGGCTACAGGCAGGATGCTGAATGAAGGCCGTTCCTGGTACACGGGAGCTGGACCCCATCCACAGCTTGTCTTCTGTCAGCGTAACGGGCCGGGAACCAACACACGCTGACTTTTGTTCCACCGTCTCCAGGTCGCCTATGAAGACTGGTTCATCACGCTCTACAATCTGGCTTACAGCAGCTTACCAGTTCTGCTGGTTGGACTTCTTGACCAGGTAATGAACCGGGCAAAATATTGCAGTTTCTGTCACGTTCACTGTGGATTCACAGCAAAGTAATCATTCCGCTCTGAAAGGACGCCGGGGGATGTGAAAGATGAGCCACTGTGTTTCAGGATTATTAAGGGAAACAACGTTTTAACCGTCCTCTTCTTCCTCCTCCCTCTGCAGGACGTAAACGACAAACTGAGCCTGAAATTCCCCAAACTCTATCTACCCGGCCAGCAGGGGCTGCTGTTCAACTACAAGAACTTCTTCATCAGCTTGTTCCACGGCATCTTCATCTCGCTCATCATCTTCTTCATCCCCTACGGAGCCTTCCTGCAGACCATGGGGCAGGACGGAGAGGCCCCCACCGACTACCAGTCCCTGGCCGTCGTCACCGCCTCCTCGCTGGTTTTCATCGTCAACCTGCAGGTGAGGTCCGCTTGTGAGGGCATGTGACCGCTTCATTAGAGTAAGCGCTGAATGGGAAACGAGGTTCTCCAACTGTGAGCTCCTGAAGGAGGAGTGTACGGATTGATGTGACGTGGACCCGCTGACCTTCGTTATCTCCTCCTGCTTTCCGTCAGATGTCTTTGGACACCTCTTACTGGACCTTCGTCAACTGCTTTGCGGTCCTGGGCAGCATCGCCATCTACTTCGGCATCATGTTTGACATCCACAGTGCCGGCATCCACGTCATCTTCCCCTCAGCGTTCACCTTCACCGGTCAGCAGCCTCCCTCCCTCCCTCCCTCCACTGGCTCTCTGGAGTTGCTTTAGAAGCTGCTTCTGAAATGTCTTTTTTTATTTTGAAGAATCAGATATCCAAGAGTTTTCCCCGTTTCTTAAGCCTGTCCATAGAATAGTTCTATTGTATGTATTAATTATTAGTATATCCATGAAATGGATAATCTGACACTCTTGTTTGAACCGATTTAGACTTGACTGTCTGCCAGATGTTGAGCCTCTGACCTGCAGCGTCCAACAGACGTTAAAGGGCCACATCCCTCCTGCTGTCCTCACTTCTCACGGCCCGTATGTATTCTGTGTATTTGCAGGTGCAGCGTCGAATGCCCTGCGCCAGCCCTACCTGTGGTTAACCATCATCCTGACGGTGGGCATCAGCCTGCTGCCCGTCATCTGCATCCAGTTCCTGCATAAGAGCATCTGGCCCTCAGTGGGCGATAAGGTACACGTCTCTAAACGGTCCCCTGTCCCGACGCAGCAGTGTTTCTCCAACGCTCCCTGGCTCATTTCCCATCATCCCCCGCAGATCCAGAGGAACAGGAAGAGGTACGAGATGGAGATGGAGGAGGAGGAGAGGAAAAAGCCGCCAACATTCCAGCGCGGCGGGCGTTCCCGCCGCTCCGCCTATGCCTTCTCTCACTCCCGCGGCTACGCCGACCTCATCTCGTCCGGACGCAGCATCCGGCGGCGCCCGGCGGGCCGCGGCGGGCCCCAGGAGAGCATCAGAGAGGTTCCCCAGAGAGCGGCTGAGAACATCTGACGGAGCAGAGCTGCATCCAGGAGGGCGTCGTGAATACGTTGAGGAGCGCTCGGTTTGTCTCTTCATTTTTTGGTCGGTGGAGCCGTTGTTCTCCTGTGGTCAATCAGTGGGGTCTGAGTTCACAGCGACCTCGTCCCTTTGGTTGATCTGAAACAGGAGACAAAGAGTCTCGTACCTCTAGGAAGGAAAGATGAATTGAGCGCTGCTGAATGTGCCGATGCTCCTCTGCCTCCAGTTCCCCCTCTTTGCACAGACTGTTCAGATGGAAGTGATGGGCGCCGTTACCGGGGCCGAGGTCATGCAGCGGCTGCGTGACTGATGATGTTTAACTCAGGGTTTGTTTTTGAATATAAGCCTTATTTTTACTCCTCTGGCTGGACGGGAAGCCAATACCTTATTTAATGTTTATTTTGGCAGTCATTGTTTTAGCCGGATGTTCGCAGAGCACTATGCTGTTTTATTCTAATGATAAAATATTTATACCGGTCAATTGTCCGTTACGTGCATGAAATCAGACATCTTTTACTTTTACTTCCGTCCATCTAAATGCGAAGCCAAGAATTTCCTTCAAAATAAACTAAAAGCTAAACAAGTCAAGATAAGCGCTTTTAATTTTTTTACTCCAATTAATGGTGGGATGTGGCTATGTAAGCTGGTTGGACGTGTCCCTAGATTTAAAAACGACATGTAAGTAGTTCCTCGTTCCTGTGCAGCATCACGTGTGACTGATGTCGTCACTACTTTAAGGAACCGGGACCTGTTTCCAACTTGAAGGCTTTTAAATACCTCTTTTCAAACCGGGATGCGGTTCTTTGTGGTACAGGTCTCCTTTTTGTCCCTTTACTTTTCCCCCATGTGCATAAACACGCTGCGTGTGGGATCCCCAGTTTGGCTTCATCATCAACAGTGTTTGCAAAATGTCAATTTGAGCGCTCCTTCCTTCTGATGGGGAAGGGAAGTTGCATCACGGGGGAAACCACAGTGAGGATCTCTGTGCCAACGAGGATGTTCTCCTGAACATCAGTCGGCTTCTTCTTCAAACAGCAGTGAGCCAGAACCGCCCCGTCCTCCATGCTAGGGTCACTGTATTGTTAGTGTTGATGTCTTTTCTTACTTTCTTACTGAATAAAATGAGGCAGTTTAGAGCTGCTGCTGATCGTACTGGGAAATGTTTGGTCATATGATGGTATTTTATCATGTGGTTGTTAATAAAAGCAAAGCGCTCGATGAGCAATCTGAAACCTCCGTTTGTTACTGTCACGCCTGCCGCTTGTTTTACGCACGATTGGTTTGAAATGTGATGGAAACATTGAGCAGTGCATACACATAATGCACAGACCCAGTGGAAGGTTACACGTTTCTGTAACTTAGTCTGCATCAAGCGACTTAACCATGAATTACATAGTTCTGACTATCTGACACTTAAATACAAAGATGGCAGAGAATCCATACATTTCTTTTTATAAATGATCGAGAATTATTAAATAACCAGGAACTACCTTTTTCCCCCAAAATGATCAAAATGTACCCGTATTCTGTGGAATATATTTTAACCCACAGATGTTTTCTGGTGAAATTGTTGCTGCTAAATTAACAATTAATTACTGAAGGGAAAAAATGGATGACATTCTTTGTGGGGTTTTGAGCAAAATACTAATGCCCAAAAAGTACTTCCATTGGCTAAAATGGCATAATTGGCTACAGAAAATGTCCATCAGTAGGATTCATCCTCTGGGCACCATGAACACATGTACAGAAATGGATGGAAATCCAATCGCCCCTTTATGGACTTAAGAGTGCTCCCACTACCTCAGCAAGGGTTGGATGCGATCGTCCATTAAGGAAACTTGACATAAATGGCAACCTATATATATATATATATAATATATATATATATAATATATAATATATATATATATAATATATAATATATAATATATATATATACAATATATATATATATATTATATATATTGTATATATATATATATTATATATATTATATATATATATATATATATATATATTATATATATATGAATGAGGGAAAAAAGCTGCAGCTCCTCCTGCCGTCACTCTGACTACTGCACATAGCGTGTTGTCGTAAAGTAACATGGATATTTATTTCATATTGTTTATTTCCTGATTCAAACTACTTGCATGCTCTTGCCTTATGAGATGAAGAGTAATGGGCAAATGCTCTATTTACACATTTTCTTAAACCGTTTCAATAAAAAAATAAATGCTCAATAAAAATATTATATAATATATAATCTTTTTTAGCATTCCATTTTATCCTCTATCTTTAAACCTTACTTTTTCTGTAAAAATATGCCAGGCTTTACACCCATGTGCGCCCTGTTTAATTGTCTTTTAACGTAAGAATATCATATCTTTTTAATAAGTGCACAGGTGAAAGCACTGACTCCTCCATCACAGCCAGCGAGTCAGCCTACAGTGCCGCCTGTAGCCTCTGGGTGGCGCTGCAGGACTGTCAGTCTCCTGCTGTGCTCTGATTGGCTCACAGCTGGAGTTCAGGTGCAGGAGGATGGCAGCTCGCATGGACCTTTTCCCCACGTTCCCCGTCGGTGGGCCAACGTCCCCTCCAGGACTTTAGTGCCTGAGGAGAATTCATTGATTCTCAATGCGTCTTTGATTTATCGCTTTAAATCGATATGTTTGTTTATTATGCAAGTAATCAATATCTCATGTTCCTTGTTAATCGTTACAAGCTTTGCCATAGTTTAGTTGGTGCTTATTTGTCTTATATGAATACTAAACTAGATAAATATGATTATTTCTGCTCTAGGGGCGCTTACAGTGTTAGAAGTCATAAAATATCAGGTGAAAAATAGTAAAACGTGATTTCAAATAGAAAACGGGTCAGTGTACCCTGAAGGTCCGGAGGAAAAACCAGCTGACTGATTATGTTTGGCATATTTTGGTAAATAAATGTTTCCTGATTCCTGATAATCCATCGCACAGTCAGTTTGTTCTTTCTGAGGCCGTCACGCGCACGTACGCTCCATCGTGAGAGGAAAGGGCCCCGGATTGGAAGCGGTGAGTCACATTGACACGTGTCATCTATTAAGTTAATATAGCATTTTGTGACCTGGAGATGCTGAATTTCTCTCACATACAGATCATGTAATGCAGGCAAATGTAGACCACTGAGAAACAATAAAAACTATTGGTTAAAGCAATCCTGCATGAAGGACATCAGTCCCCATCGCACTTTAAAAAGTACCAATTCTACCCAATTCATCCCTACAACCAATCAAGTGACAGCTGTAACACTGCTAACAGCATGTTAAATCACCTTTAATCTTTTTTTTTTGGCTGCTATCTCTGTCTTTCTGTCAAATCTGCATCCGTTCCACATGGAGGCCTCCAGGCGGACTAAGATAATGCTCTCCATATTTACAGTGGCAGGAGGATTGGGAGGTTCTTTCACTGGATCCCATTTGTGTGAACCTATTAGCGCTGAGCGCTCTGAGCCCCCTCTGATACGCCTGTGAGATTAGGCCATGGTATTACTGTAAGAGGATCGCCTCGAGGTGAGGGCCAAATATGGAGAGGCAGAGGGGGGGGGGGCTCGCAGATAGGACCACACACTCCCCAGAAAGAAATGTGGTCCTGGCAATGAGAGAGGAGGAAAACACCAAACACACAGCGAAGCTGCCGATGCCGATGAGAGAGGACCAGACGTCTGCTTCAACGATTCAACGCCGATGTCTGTGGCCAACGTTCACGTTGACTTGGATTATGGTGCGTTCAGGCTCTACCTGGTAGTTCTGTTCGATATACACATTGGAGAGGGTGTTATGGCCTTTTAAACTTTCTATCACTAGCTACTTTTAATATATGATTGAAGCTACAAAAGCCGAGATTTTAACAATAATGTTTTCCCTGATTTGAATTGTTTCGTTGTTATATTATTACGTAATTATATTTAAGTAAAGAGAAAACATTGGAACTGTTGAAATATTCTTTCCTAATTTCAATTTCAATTTGTATGATCATATGTGCCGATGTGAGGGTTTGGGGACAGAGGATGTCGTATGTGTACAGACTGTAAAGCCCTCTGAGGCAAATTTGTAATTTGCGATATTGGGCTATACAAAATAAAATGAATTGAATTGAATAGAATTTAAAGTAAAATGAAAAAAACTAAAACAATGTATTTTTTTTATTCTCATTATACTTACAAAGCGCTCCAGATAAAAGTTTCCACTGGGAATAGAAAAAGCTTTCTGAAAGTTTGTGTCAGTTTTCTTACTTCACTGCCAATAATAGTTTTCAGAAAGGAAATCGGAATCAGCAGGTAAGACCAGAAAAGACAAATGCACAAATGTTGTTTCTAACCGTGAATCTGGGAACACGATGAGTTCAAAGTTGAATCAGAAAGTCATTCAACTATTTGCCTCACATAGTGTTTTTAGTTTTAGTTTTAGTTTAGTAGTGAAAAACGAGTAAATGACTAAGAATAGAGACCCCGGTGGAATGAAATGCTCTGGGTGTGTTGTTCCTACTTGGTATGTGTGTGTCTGTGCACCTTGATCAGGAGGAGGAAGCTGGTGGGGAACCGAGTCACAGCAAACCCCCCCCACCGGCGCAGGGAGAGACTTCTGTGTCATAATTTATGCCTTAAAGTGCATGAATCTTTCAGCACACAGTGGCAGAGACGCACTTGATGTTTACGACAGTCATTTCCTTGGTGAAAGATTCATGTGGCTCTCATGAATCTTTCAGGGTACAAACAGCGGCGCCGATGCTCGTCGGACGCCGTGTGAACAGACGGGTGTCTGGGACCCGGACGAGCTGGGCGTGGGAATCGTGACCCTGCCTGCTTCTCGAAGCGCTTGAGTGGGTCACGGGAATATTAGTATCGCTCGACGGGTCATTTGGATGTTCTTCTCTCTTTTTGTCAAATCGATTGTAAATCCAGGTTTCTCAGGTTTTTCCAATGCAGCACCTCCGGATTCTTCATTTTGACACAAATAGCATGAACCAAACATGAACTGTGTCCTACACGTTATTTGATTCACCTGGAATTATTCCTCAAGGCCCGTTGACGACAACATTTAAAAATAAATGTCTTTCTTAACCTGCTAATATGCATCGCTAACCAATATAGCTTTGCCAAAGGTGCTTGGAAGACACGTAGAGCCGCATATTAAAAGTGTAGGAAGCTTTCCAGGTTACGAACGCATGTTGCAACTTTTATTGTATCCTACACACAGGTGGCATCTGAAGGTGTGCTTACAAACTGCATCCAACAGAATACACGTCTTTATGCTATTTCCTCATTCGGAGACTGTGGCAACGCGACCTCGTCGCTGTGATTTGATCATTATTATCTGAAGAGCAAATGGAAGTCAGGGGGCAGCTGGTGACTCCACAGTTTGGCACCTAGCTGTTCACGTTACAGCAGCTTTCAAGTGTATTTAAGAAGTGAGTTGTTCACTCCGGGCTTCCGTAGAACATGGCCGTGCATCCCAGCGGACCCGTTAAGCGGCTCCATGAGGATACAAAGACTCATTCTAAGGAAAACATGGTTGTTAGTTTCCAACAAAACACACAGTTCATTCGTCGTTACTACATATTCCATTTCAGATAAGAGATCCAGCAAAATGCCACGTACCCGTTCCAAGGGACCAATGGATCCTGGACAGTGTCCTGTTAGCTACAGAGCTAAGCTAGCATGCTAATGGGTTTGCTACCTGATTAGCTTGTGTAAAATGACCACAACGCCTCGTCCCGTCTGCAGGTCTCCGGTAATCTGCAGTTACTAACTAACTGGATTGAAGTGTTGTCGTCGTCGCTCCGCAAGGCTTTAAATACATTTTCCGATTGTGAGATTTGCTCCGATCGGCAGGAGCGAAGCGTGCCAGCCAATATGGCCGACGTGGCGGCAGGCTATTATTAGTTCCTGTGAAAAAGGTTGGAGAGGCCACTGTGCCCCTGATGTACACCGCCGCTCCTCCGCTCAGAGGACGCATGTCCTCCTTTCAAAACATCACATTCATCTGGCGCCTGCAAGCTGCCCTGGCATGGTGGGAACCCTTCATCTCGCCTGTGTAGCGGCCTTCAGAGGGTCCTACCGGCTGCTTGGACTTTAGCCAAGGTTACTATAGAAACACGGGAGGAGAAGTGCAGGGAAACAGGATGCTAATGGAAAACACACATTTAGCCACCAAAGGTTTGGTTTGGTTTGTGATCAAAGATGTCACGTGGACTA